TGCGCGTCTGATGTGAACAGAAGTGCTCCGGCTCGTGTGAGAATTTCGGTGCACTGCGCGTCGCAGCACCTCCGTGGGCGGTGTGGCCTTATGCAGTGCGTTCAGTGCAGCGGCCCAGGCCAACGCCGACTCGGAAAGAGGACAGCTGCGGTGGAGTTTTTTTTTCTCCACAATCGAAAATCAATTTTCACATTCAAAGGTCCATTTTTTTTTTCAAATTCGAATTTAGAATATTCGTTGACAGCCCTAGTTTACATACAGTCTTGTTCAAGATAAATGCACTATGTCAGTACAACAATGTAAGTTGGCTTCTTTTTTTTTCCCTCCAACAACTAACGCATGTGGTTACATTTAGGCAACAAAAGCACGTGGTTAGGTTTAGGAAGAAAGAACGGGGTTTAGCTTTAGAATCTTACGGGAAGCAACACCCGCTGTCCTGGGTAAAAGTTGGAGTTTGTTGGACCAATGCACCTCCCCTCCCGCCCACCTCACTAAGACTTTCACTGCCTTAACTTTCGTTCTTGTCACACCACATTTCCCCCTGATGCAGCTGGGTGCCGTTAAATTAAAATGGTGATTGGCCGTATGTCATGCTGACCATAAAGGACAGCTTTTTTCGTCAGTGTCTGACGCTGCAAATCACCGCCAAAGCGCCAGCTTTCGACGACTTCGGTGTAAGATCGTTGCCATGGCACCAGCCTCTTGAACAAATACGTTCACTTCTGGCTTCAAAAAACCAAGATGGGTGACGGCCATGATGCCAAACTCAAGCCTTCAAAACAGGAGTCCACAAACCATAAGGTGATGTCACAGAAGCTACACACATTATTTTGACAGTCAGTGGTGCCAATGAACCTTGTGATGGGGCTGGCACAATATGACTTTAATTACAAATCACCTAATTTTCAGAAAACATTGCATTTAAACATATGTATTTGTAGCTGGAACCTTAACCTTTCACTCTCTGCTGGTTAGAATACTCTAACAAAAGAGAGTGAAAAGTGTGCCCACCAGCCCCAGTCTCCCCTACTCAGTAACGTTATACTGTGGGGAAGTACCGTTATTGTGACCCGTAATGAACCTAAGTTCGTGGGGTACAACTGACTCCGTGCAACCAAATTATTGCCACAAACAAAAAGGTGCAGTATTATACTTTGACAAAACTACAAGCAGTGTATAAATATGTCAGACTGTCTCAAGAGTCTTACCTTCTTAACTGGTTTGTGGGTGGGCACAGCACTGAAGGCGGACGACAGCTCCCCCATGTTCATTTCGCTGTTCTTGCTCACGGTCATAGCAGAATATTTCTCCGCCACATTCTCACTTTCTTTCACCTCCTTGCTCGCCTGTTTCAGCTCCAGCTTCGCCTCCCCGGCTGGGTCCGACATGTCGACGGTGACCGTTGGGTCCAAACGTCAGAGAAGCTAACGTTAGTGATATCCTTGCGCTGCTAGCTAACTACTGTGCAACAACGAGCCGGAAGAGAGGCTTTTAAATTACGTTAGTGTAAAAATAGAAAGTAAAAACAACAATGGCGTAACTGTCGGTGTGTCCTCCACTTTGATTTGGCGCTGACAGATGTCGTTATGTTGTCTGTTGTGTTGCGTTGCGTTGCGTAGAGTGGAGCTGTGTTGAGTCTCTGCTGGCTCAGCTGTCACCTGGCTGAGTAACTTTGTGGGCGGTTACTAACAGACTGGGGGGCGTTGTTTATATACAGATGCGTTCAGGGTGAGTGGGGCAACAGAGAACAACTCACAACAGCTTATTATAGAATTTATTGTGTCTATTTCTTCTGTTTTGTCCGAATTCATCATCCAGTTTTCCACTATAGCACCGTGTCTAAATTAGTATGATCCGTTGTGGAAACAGCCAAACAAATGCAGCTTTCGTTTAATTGCTTTATCCACTTGGAATCAGGTTTGGAAATTAACACCTGCTTCCAACCAAATGCTGGTAAAATATGCAAGTGGCTGCCCACTCACTCCCCAGCCAGTGAAACAATGATAATTTACTGAGTGGCCAAAGTGGCAGGTCGACTGTAAATGTAATTACCAACCCTCCTTGCACTCTAAACAGGAAGTGAATGAAGAGTGCAGTCTGTACTTATTTGCATAATATGCTGTTTTGGCACCCAGTAGCGTACTCACTGTTGTACCAACAGGAAATTCTGAAATATGCATATCAACCAATCAAACTGTCTTTTTTTGGGGGGGGGGGGGGGGGGCGTTTGGGCTCGAACATGCTGTTCTTTTCTTCACTCAGCATTTGGATCCAAAGCCACTTACAAACAAANGGGCGGGCGTGAGCAGTGTTATATTTTTTAAGACACCACTTTATTCGGAATTAGCCTATATTAGATATTCCCATGACATAATTCCATGCATTAATTCGTCCATTAACAGCTCACTCGCGAATCAGTCCATATTGATCATGCACACGAACAACTTGGTGCAAAATTAATTTTGTTGACTGTAAACGCTTTTAAACAGGTGAGAACAGTGTATATAGGATCAGGACACGCATAAAGAGCTGAAGCTGTCAATTCCCAGTTGATTTAAATGCATCATTAAGCTTGAAGGAATCCTCACTCACTGCGCATACTCCCCTTCACTTGTTTGAGGTTGCAAAATAAAAACTACTACTATGTCACGACATGGTATGACTGTGAAAGTGAATACGGTTGGTTTTTTTTTCACTATTTGCATGTATATGGTGCCAGTTCTCATTACTCTGTTTCAGTCTACCCCAGATCTGTATCTATAGGACTTTCTCTGCATTAGCACGACGTTTTATTCCTGTGTTAATGTGTAATATATACCTTTGAGTCTGTGACATTCACACATGATTGCTGCTCAGTGGGATTTCAGTCTTCTACTCATCCTCACTGACCCTCAAAAGCACCTCTGCAGAGCCTGGTGTGCAACCATCTGTATAGGTCTAATGCTAGGGAAGGCTCTATACCCATATGAAATGGGTGAGCAGGTAAAGAAAATGAATGAATATAAATAAGCATCCTCAAATCAAGCTGTTAACAATGCAGGCTGTTTTGTGAGCAACATCAGTTGTGTCTGGAATCCACGAGTCAATGTGCTGTAAGAAATTTGCAGGGTGGAGCAACCACGAAATTCAAGAACCCAAAAGGGAAATAGAGTAGTAAGACTGATAAAGATAAGCCAGCAAGTGAAATTCAGGCTGATAAGATGTATGGAAGTCAGATGGCAGCCGCCCAACCTTGCACAATACAAGCTGCCATTATTCATGGAGGTGAGGTGAGGACATAGAGAGAAGTGCATTTACATTTGCAAACACTGTATTGGTGCTCTTCGATGCATTTCACATCCTAAGAAAATACAGCGGTGGTATGCAAATCCAGGATTTAGATGCTGCACTGGCCTACATAACTTTACTCTCCTTGCATGCACAGTCATTTTTCAGGGTTGTACAGGAAGTGCAGAACAAACCTAATAGATTCACATTAGATTCAGCATAATAAAGGTGACTGAAAAAAAACATGATAAGAGCAAGTATGTGCTGGCAAATTTAATTTCTCTTGTGTGCAAAATTATGGAACCAACCAGGACCATGACAAGAACTGCTGTAACTGGTCTACCAGAATCAGAGATCTGTGTTTAAAATAAGGTTAATTCTATTTTATTTTATTTTATCTACAATAAACCTTGATTTGCATATTAGTAATAGTAAATATGATTAACAAATAAATTATCATGTATTATTATTGGTTAAGATAAGACTTTATTGATCCATTGGTGGAGGTTCCCAAGCTATGGACTCAGACCTGAATTTCAGTTGCTACATTAAGACAAAAATACAAAGTCAGCCTACTATCACCTTAATAACATATCAATGATTAAAGAATTTATATCTCAGTTAGATTTGGAAAAACTTGTCCATGCATTTATGTTTATTAGACCTGACTACTGTAACAGTGTCTTTACAGGTCTCCTTAAAAATCAATTGGTTACCTGTGGCTTGAGTCCTCACTGAGACCAAGAAAGTGGATCACATCACTCCAGTTCTGGGATGTTTACACTGGCTTCCTGCCTGTCAGAGATTGACCCCACTACTGTTGGTTTACAAAGCACTGAATGGTTTAGAGCCCAAATATATTTCTGACCTTCTTCTACACCTATCCAGACCTCTCAGGTCTTCTGGGACAGGTTTGCTTTGTGTCCCCAGAGTCAAGACTAAACATGGTGAAGCAGCATTTAGTTTTTATGCCCCACTTATCTGGAACAAACTCCCAGAAAACTGCAGGTCTGCTGCAACTCTCAGTTCATTTAAATCAGAGTTGAAGACTTTTCTGTTTGCCGCTGTCTTTGATTTAATTAAATATTTATCTGTTTCTTACACTGCACTTTAAGTTTTATTATTCAAATATTTTTAATAGATTTTAACTGCACTTTAGCTATTATTCGTATATCTTATACCCGTCTTAGCATATTTTAGCTCTTTATTTTCTATTATCTGGGTCTTTATGCATTGTTTTTAAATGGCACAATAATTTATAAATAAATATTGTGGATAAATAAATTTCTATTGAATTGAATAGTGTGTTTCTTTTGCACCTTGTCTTGATGCTTTTGATGTTTTTATGGAGAGCACTTTAAATTGCCATGTTGCTGAAATGTGCTGTATAAATAAACTTGACTTTAAAGTAACAACTTCTTCCCTACCCTTATCAGCTGCAAAATTAAGGTCATCTACACATCATACATCAATTACTGTAGAGAGATACGTACTGTGGAGCCCTTTCCAAAAATGGGGAAACAGCGCCACAACTTGTTTGACTCCCACTGTGTGGTCAAAGATGGCATTGCAGCTTGAAAGTGTGCGTTCGTGACTAAAATACCTAAATAATTTAGAAATGCATCTCACTGAAACATATGCTCTCGTGCGTTAAGACACTTTTAATATTAATATGTTGTGAGAGGTGAGGTTCACAGGGTTCACACAGTAACACTAGGTTACCCCGCCCTCCGGGGAGCAGCAGCCCGGTCTCCCCTCTCACAAACGTATTTTCCGTCACGCCATTTTCCATCGACGACCGAGAGAACAAACCAGCCGGAGGAGCGCTGATCGGAGCTGTGGTTTGCAACGATAAAGGTGAAGCTTGGACCACATTATTAAGCGTGTGTGATGCTTAAACCTTTTAAAGGTGCAATTTTGTGTTGATTAGTCATGTCGCTGCATCAGTTTAATCTAATTTTGTTGTTTAATTTCTATGGTTGCTAGCGGAATGCTGCTCCTTAGCACTAGGCCTCAGAAAGACGACAGCCATTTTAGCTATCGTTAGATAGCCATTAGCAAGCGTTAGCGTCAAGGCGTCGAAACATACTCTAATATCAAATATAAAATAAAGTGCTTATAAGGTGAAGCGTAAGTTACATCGTTTATGATGCCGTTCATTTTAGTCAAAATTTAGACCTACTCCGTGAATGTTGGGGTCAGTGTTAGCCGAACTACCATGAATATTATTTTTGTTAAGCTAACGTTAGCATAGTGTCGGACTCGAGGCCAAGCTTCTTCCCGTTTACAGTTTTAAGATTGCATTGTAGATGTCGTTCTCAGATACATACTGTATGTTTTTCATGACACATAAAGTCAGTAACTTTAACAGAAAATATTTCATACCACCGTTCGACGTTATTCTGGAAGACTGGTTGGGAGAGAGCACTCAGGCGCAGCGCATGTAAACGTTACGGACAAGGGAGAATTAACGTTAATTTTTGACGTCACACGCCGGGTACCTTGGTTACATCTACTGATTCAAGTTTTTCCCGTGAGTTAACATAAATCTGTGGCGTGAGGTAACGTTATATTGTGGTACATGTGCTGCAGAGATCTCAGGCCCTTATTATGGCCCCTGTACGATGCAGCAGGCTACCGGTCTTTGTTTCACCAGGTTGTGAACTAATGTCATGTAAACATGTAAAGGATTGTGAGCGTGGTTCTGCTTAATTGATGATGTATATTCTGAATTCTTAACTGACTCCTGCATTAACAACCAATTCCTTATCTTTGTTTATTTTTCAGATCCAGTCATGCATCGTGACTGTCCTCTTGACTGTAAGGTCTATGTTGGAAATCTGGGCAACAATGGAAACAAGACAGAGCTAGAGAGGTCATTTGGCTACTATGGTCCTCTCCGTAGCGTGTGGGTGGCCAGGAACCCTCCAGGTTTTGCCTTTGTAGAATTTGAAGATCCCAGAGATGCAACTGATGCTGTGCGTGAGCTTGATGGAAGGTAGGCAACAAACTAAAAGAAAAAAATTCTGCATTACAGTGGTCAAAATTGGAGTAACAGGATTCATCTTGAGTTGGCTAATGATGGCTGTTTTATAGGACGTTGTGTGGTTGCCGGGTGCGTGTAGAGCTGTCCAATGGTGAGAAGCGCAGTCGCACCCGCGGTGCTCCCCCTCCATGGAGCAGGCGTCCTCGAGACCGTGATGACTACAGGCGTCGTAGCCCACCACCCAGACGAAGGTGACCCATGTTGTTGTTTGTCAGTGGCCAGCAGAGACAGCTTATGGTCTATCTTGTACTTAAATTCTGCTCTGTGACTTACTGATTTCACTCTCTTACCCACAGTATATGTCCTCATAATTGCTTATGTTTTCCAGTCTGGGCATTTCTAGTGTTTGTAATATTCTCTGCTGATTGTACATTTGTGATAGTTCCATCTTCATTGATATTATTAATAGTCATTTTATGTAGGGAGCCAAACAGATAGTCATTCATAACCAAATTAAAAAATATGACATGGGAATAGGACATTATACTAGGTTATGTAGTGAAGTCTTTCTATTGCAAAATGCATCTTCAAATCTGGCCTACCAAACTTGCAGTGCTTTAGGCATGAGTTATTCTTTTTAGAAGTAAATATTATTTGTGCACTTACAAAAAAGGTAGTGCATTTTAACTGCTTCAACGTGGCAAAATAGGTCTATGAAATAGGATGAGACAATTCCTGTGTCAGTAAAAGTATAATCTGTTTAAAATTTGGGGGGATAAAAGTGCCAAATGTGATGCATTTTTTTTCCTTTTGTTTGAGGATGCTTTTTATTTTTCATCTAATAAGAATGAAACCCGTTGCAGAGCCGTCACCATGCCTCCTCTCACCACCCTCTGAGTCAATCAACTAGTCCTCTTTCAGCATCATGTGACTGCTGACCATCGTGCACCAATCAGCTTGGCTGGTGCTGTCACATGACCCAGGCATGGCCAGTCGTCAAGTTGCACCAACCCATTGGTTCCTCAGCATGCCGTTCTCAACCTCCTCCTCCTTCAACCTTAATCCAAACGGCAGCGGCCCACCTCACATTCCCGACCAATCAGCGTATTACGTTCCCAAATGTCTACAACCTACCAACAGCAGCCTTCGGCTAACCAATTAAAGCAGGAAAAAAGCCACAGCCAGCCCCCATCTGCCTGCCACCTAATCACCTTGCAGCATCTGGCCAGTCCTATTCAGCCAATTCTACCTACCCGGCCGGCAGTCTGCCTCCCTTTCGTCATATCTAGCTTGTTGAAAACCAAAAATACTAGTAAGTTTTCCTGCTTCATTCAGTACAATGCTGATTACAGTTTTGAAAGTGAAGAGACAGCTGGTTTGAAAAGGTTGTTCTTTCTTTTTTTTTTAATTATTTGAATCAAAAGTCTGGAACTTGACATTTCCAGAGATTTCGATTATAGACAAACATCTGGTATGTGTTGGGGCTCTGAGCAGAATTATGAAGTCACACAAATCAAAACTCTCCTCAACCCCCAAATGAATATAACAAGGTATTTTTGTGTGCTGTATGGTTGGTCTTAGCAGATCTTAGTCTGGTTGCTTCTCAACACTTATTCCCAGTGACCAGTATATTGTTTTTATTACTAGCTTCCAATTTCTAATGTGCTTCCTTTTAGTGCAGTGGACCAGTTTCATACAGATGGTGGCCTCTGTGTGTGTTTTAACACTATGGCCAGTCCACAGTGCAGCGTTTATCTTCTAATAGGGGCAAATGTGGCTAGTTAGTTCACAATAATTTTGTAACAAGCTTTGAGGCTCAGACACCATAAAAAAAACTTATATTTTTCATACCTAACAACTTAAAATCAAAACCTGGAATATGATTTACACGTGTGACTTAATTTAAATATGCATATGACACTGTGGGATAGGTGAGAGATGATTCCTATGCACCTGCCATCTTTATGCACTCGGTCCATTGCCAGTGAGTTACATTTTCTGATTGAGATAATAGTGTTCCTGGAAAAAAACACCCAAGTGTTTTAATTTCCATTTTTAGTTACTGAGCTAGACAAAGGGCTGTGTTGAAGGAGGCCCATGTAAGAAAAGGATTGGAATAGTGTGGAGCAAGCGGGTGGTCGGTGCATCTGTGTTTGTTCTTAACATTTTTGTATTTTCCCTGCGCAGATCTCCACGCAGGAGGAGCTTCAGCCGCAGTCGAAGCAGGTAAGACAGCTCTCAGCATGTCAATCCAAAATCTTAAATGTGGAACATCCTTCTGCTGTATTCTCTTAAGATATGTTTCATGAAATATTGTGTAGTCATTTTATAGAAACCGAATAAAGTATTGAATCTGAATCCTTTCAAAACCAAGATTAAACTTAATGAGAATTGGCTTTCATTATTTGCAATTTAGTCTTATATACCTGAAACTCAAAGATTTGGTTTAGACCTGTGATCATCCAGTTGTTCAGAAGTAATCTGATTGAGTTTTGGCTGTTGGATTGGATCAAATCTTGAAAAGGGTTTTTTCAAGAGAGGAGAAAAAGGTTTTGAAGTTGGGTTAGATAACGTAATCCAGTCTTTGCTTTGATCTGGATTAAACCATCAGTGTGCATTGATTAAAACTTTGTCATAGGATTGAAATATATTTTGATCACAAAAAAGAGGATGATCCTGATCGCAGCAGAAGGGTGGATTCACTTGTACCCCCGTTTTCTGTCTCTCTTCAAATATAATCACTAAGTGACACCACACTGTCAAGTCTTCCTGTTGTTTACTCAGCTAGTAGCCTACATTGTGCTACGTAATCCCATCTAGAGCACTGGGTATTCAGATCAGGTGATCTTGAAAAATTTGTAACAGGATCAGGTTGATCCAGTCCAATGTTGCTTTGAAAAACCTACACAAAGGTAGTTGATCCTGGATAGCAAAACATGGGACTTCCAAATCTGAATCAATCTGATCCAGATTAAACTTTTGACCAGCTGGGCCCTGTTGTTCTCTGAGAAGTGGTTTGTAGTAGTAGCCACTAAATTAGCTTTTATGTTTAACCATGTATTTATTTTCTAAGATGGCCAAATAAACTACTTAATCCAAATAGTCTAGGTCTGAGTTTGATATGTCTGTGTATTTTGTTGACTGAAAGCCTGATCTAAAAGGGGACCCAACCCTAAAAGTCGTGCACCTAACATACCAGGCAAACGTAATAAGTGTATAGAAAACTTGAGAAATGTTTACTTAATGGGCTGGTTTGGCTTTTGCAGGTCTTTCTCAAGAGACAGGAGGAGGGAGAGGTCCCTCTCCCGGGACAGGAACCACAAACCTTCAAGGTCCTTCTCACGATCAAGGAGGTACTGATATTGTGTACATCTTGTGTCCTAACATATATTTGACAGTTTAATGTGAACCCTTTGGATTTTGTTGAGAGGACATTGTATCACTGAGAATAACACTCCTCCGTGGCTGAGCAGCTTTCAAACCAAGGGACCATTTGTTGTTTGATTGAAATGTAGCTGAGAATGTCAGTAATTCTTGCTCTCTTTAACTCTGCTTTTTCCCCATCCCCACAGCCGCTCCAGGTCAAACGACAGAAAGTAGAGGAGCGTCTGTCGTGTGCAAAGGGAGCTGCAGATGAACGGTTGTACAGGCTTGGCCGTTTCAAATGACGGAGTTCAACATGGCCGTGCGGCCATTTTTGTGTTGAGTTTTTTAAACAATCAGAGCATTTTAGTGTCCTTCCCCTTGACTTGTTATGGTAATTTTCACATACATTGAGTGGGTGTGTACAGGTGTGACGCCTCGCCTAAGTCCATCTCGTCGGTCCTGAAACAGTCGTGCCACCCTGCATTCCAGTTCACCAGTTATTTTTGAGTTTTGGTTTTTGTCGATGAATGTACTGTGTAGTTTGACGTAGTGTGAGTAGTTTCTTCTTTTTCAACGCCAGCATTTTTCTTTTTTTAAAGTAAGGATTGGGGTGATATGTGAGAGTCCCTCCTTTTGATTGTCTGTAAAGCCAACCGTTTTTCAATGTGCTACTTTCTTACTTCACACTGAAGGTTTCCATCTGTTCATGGTTGGTTGTTTGTAATAAACACACCCCCTCATTTAAAGATGCAAAACTATGGCATTGATGTAGAAAAAATGTGTATGAACACGACCGATTTTTGTCTATGAAGTTTTCCATTATTTTTCTTTCGTTTGATACAATGTGAAATGGTCTTTCAATTAAAGATACTGGTTGATTACAAAAACCTGCATTCCTTGTGTGTGTTAATTCCTTCTTGCCTTTCATGAGAATAATCAGACAGTGTTGTTGTCCACCAGAGGGCACTGCTACAGCATCAGTCAAGAAGCTGAACTGGAGCCAAATCAGTCACTTTCACATGAAATCAGTACAGTGGATTTAGTTGATCCTTCTGTTGCCCATCGATGTAGCTGCAGTTTGTTTGGGTTGAGCTGCACTACTTTCCTCTATATGCCAGTATCTATTGTTTATCTTTAAAGTATTTTGTCTGCCATCCTTCACCTCAGTGTAGATCATTTTTCTTGTTGATCTACGCCACTTGGTGGTGCTATTGAGTTTGTGCCCGGTCTACTGGTCTAACATAATGGTGTCTTTTACCATTTGATATTGTCGAGTTTCTGCTGGGTTTCAGCCTCAATGCCTGCCTAAACTCAACCTGGCATGAACAACAGAAGATGTGGACAACTAATTTTCTTCATTTATTGAAATGATCATCAGTTTGAGTATAAGGTTGATAACCTCAAAGAATAGAATAGAAATCTTTTGTCATTGAAGCAGTACAATTAAATTTAAAAGCTACAACTGTACACAGTGCAAGTTAAAAGGAACAACAAGTGACAACCCAGAAAATAACCCCATCATATCACCAATAAGTAAGAATCAAATAAATAGTAAGAGGCAGATGTTATTGCACTCAATGTATGTAATGTCACCCAGACTGGGAATGAACATTAGGACAGTTTATGAGGAATGGGAGTTCAGAGTTCTGATGGCCCAGGGACAGACATTGTGAGTCTTGATTCTGCTCAAATCATCAAATTATGTCAGTTAATTCAACCAATAAATCCATGTATTAAATAACATGAATCACTTAATTTCAAACAAATTATCAATGATTTAATCAAAACATATTTTCATGTCGAATACTACTGATCTGATGCTATGCCAAATATTTATGAAATGTATTTACTGCATTTTTTTTAAATGAAAAGCTTTATTATAAATAGCATTTATATTTCTTTTAAATATTTTTTGTAATAAGCGTTAAATTATTTTACTCAGGATTTTTTTAAATATTAATTCCTTGTTTAAAATAATATTTGTGTTGGCTTTAATATTTTTTACTTTTAACTTGTCATGAGGTGTCAGATTGTTATAGTTAGCAAAACCAATGAAATAGATGTTGAATTATGAGTCATTCAGCTCCAAATCTCATTTACTGTAATTGCATTTTCTGTCAGGTTTTTATCTAAGAATATAAAAACTTAATGTGTGGTAGATATACAAATACATTTATATATATATACAAAAGCAAATTGGTGTAAAGATTGAAACATTCACATTTTAGGTAGTCAAAATTGAACTGGAGACATGTTTTAATAAATAGAAATGTTTAAAAATAAAAGTTTTGCCTAAAAGTAGCAACTGGTGATGCGTGGCATTTCAAATAGACTGTAAATCTCTTAAATTAAAGGCTCCATACCATACAGCTTGAGCTAAAGTCATTTTATGTCTAAATGTAATTAAAATGTCTAAATAAGATTTGTCTCATCTGAGTTACTGACACAACACAGAGTGTGACAGTGGGCTGGTGAGGATGTGATTTGTCACAAGGAAGTATAGAAAGTAACCTGACCAGTTCATGGCTCTGTCTGTCTACATGTATATGCTCAGATTTCCCTCGTTTTCTGTGGTACATGGTGTTGGTTATGTAATCAGTTGACTGAGAGTTGAGCCATTTCACCAGGACAGATAAGAGATAACGCATCCAAATAATGGTGTCCTTGTGCTGCTGATAAAGTCTGTGTGTGTGTGTGTGTGTGTGTGGTGTAGAGCTTATTAAACGCTCCTGATCACTGTTATAAGCTCTGAACTATCTTCAGTAGTTAGACTGAGGGAGTATTATACTCATAATAATAGGGACACATTTTAATTTTAATATTAAGCGCTCTGGTGTTGAAATTAAATAAAGTTTATCTATATAGTTAGTTGTGGTCACAGAAGGTGTTGTATCTAAAGTTACAGCCGTGGGTCGTGTCTCGTTCCCACAGAGGTTTTACATCACCAGCTCCTCTCCCACTGCCCAATAGTGTTTTTCGGTGACACCCCCGACAATCCCACGGCTCCCTGTTCACGCAGACAATCCACGTGAACCGGCATAACACAGAGGCAAGTTGCTCAAATCTGCGCGCCCTTTTCCACGTGTTACTCAGGCGCTGATGACATCACAGGAGCGATGACTCACAGTATCCACGGAGACGGGTCTCACAGTGAAGGAACTCGCGGGAATCCACTCACAGACTTGTGGTATTTCCACCCACTGTTATGTAACGTCCTCTCTATCGCTCTGTCGCCCACGGAGCAGAGTGGCTTCATGAGTAATGACTGGTGTGAGAAACACAGAAGTGACACTTGGTGGAGCTAAATTTAGATCTGGGCACACCAAGTTAATTTGATCAAGTTTAGTTTACATTAATGTGAATATCTTTGGGTTTGGGACAGCTGGTGAGATAGAATTAAGACAATTAAGGACCAGCTTACAGTTTCATCATTTTCTAGTAGGCCTATTCTATAGAATAAAACTTAAAGGAAAAGTGAAATATTTTGTAAAACACACTTAGCCTAATTACTGTTTCTTGCTGAGTTAAATGAAAGGGGAGTTGCCATGTTCACTAAATCTGAAGCCGAGCCAGCGGGTGGGTCACTCAGCTTAACATTAAGAGTGGAAACAGACAAACACCTCGCCTGGCTCTGTCCAAGGTCACAAAATCAACCAACCAGGGCCTCTAAAGCAGAATTTATACTTGTGCATCACCTCTATGCAGAGCCTACGCTGTAGCCTATACGCACGTGGCCTACGCCATTGTGAGCATTTATACTTGTGTGGTGGTGTGTGCAGTTACACCCCAAAAACACTAGTCGGCGGTGGGGTTTCTGTGAAGGGCTGTAAAGTTTAGCCGATTCGAAACAACTAAAACACAAACATGGCTCAATAGAGTGTGCCAGTAAACCCGGAACTCCGTTAGCGCTTTTAGCACTTCCGGTTCTCTCGTCTAAAAGTCAATACGTTTTTTGAATGGGATTTTGGTAAAATGCCTCAAATAAGGTCTGTGGTTAACAAAAGCTTAAGCGAGTTTCAGGTTTTGTTCTATGACATAAAACACGTCAGTAAATACCCTACTTGTGAATTTTGAAGCTTTTACGTGTCGTAAAAAAGGCGGTTGCTAACAAGTTGCTCAATACAACTACAAACCCTGTTGGGGACATTAAACGTCATCACCCCCGAACAGGCGAGAGTGCTGGCAGTCTGCCATTACAGCTTCTTTAGTTTAAACAGTCTGATTTCCCCATTATACAATGTTCTTAAAATAAAGCAGCCGAAATCAGTTGAAAGCTTAGTAGTGGTGACGTCAAGAGTCATGCGACCGTGGAGTAGTCATGTAGTCTATTAAAGCCTAACGTTAGCTTTTTACTTCTGGCGATCGCATTTAAGCTTCAAATGCGGTATGAAAGGTGTTCATATGTGAAGATTATCTCGCTGAACAAAACCTGTAAGTATCAAACTTGTGTTAGCCACAGAGCTTATTTTCTGACATAATCCAAAACGCAATGCAAAAATCACATTCACTTTCTCTTCCAGGAACCACCGCAATGCTAAACTTCCGGGTTTTGACGTCAGCCCTGGCACACTCTATAGCGACAGTTGCTATTACAAGTACACAAATTGGTTTCGCTATAACTCACAGGATTCACAGACAAAGCACAGTCTTCTACTAGACACATTTTCCCCACAAAGACATAATGCTAATGTTACTATGCCTGGTGTCAAACGTGTGTAATGGTGGCAACAGAAAGTTTGCTGATCCAGCGGGGAGTCAGGGCTGTCTGGTCTCCTGGTGCTGGGGTTTGCACTGGCTGGATTCAGGTTGCTGCGGCTGCTTTTTGCTCTCCTTCCAGGAAGTCTGTAATGCTAATGTTAGCTACATAAATGTTAACTTGAAGCTACAGCCATGAGCATTTAGCTCCAGTTAGCAAAAGGCTAAATTACTAGCAACATTTTCTCTCCATCTCTGAAACGTCTCACCGGTATTGACAAGTAATCTTTTTTGTTTATTGTGAGAACCTCTTTTAAACAAGTCTTCGACATGTCTTCCTTTTCGTGTTGCTTTGCAGTGCGGGTGGTTGTAGCCAAGCTGGAATAGCCAATTTCTTTGCAGGATTCTCTAGCATTGAATCAAGATTTCACCTAAGTGACGAGCATGCATATGTGCATTTATAGAACGGCCAGTAGCAACACTCTCTGAAATGACCTGTGCCAAGAAGAGGTGAAGAGGTCTTGAATTGTAATATGTTCAGAGGTAGCCAAAATTAAACTGCCTACTTAAGCTTTAACGGGCTGTTCAGACCTGAATCAGTCCTGCATTAAAACCATGACTATGTATGCTATGCTATACATACTATACTGTATGAATTAAAAAATCAATACACTTTTATTCATAAACAAACAGATAAGTTTAGTTTATTCTTTTTCAATACACTGGTATCTTTCTGATGAGAATGGTCCAGTTTCTGAGATCATCTAAATTAAATACATTTTTATATCTTTTTTTCCAACGGGCAACAGGTGACTGAACACCTGACCCTTGAGTGTAAGAAGTCAAGTATTTAAGTTTATGTTATGCAACCGTAGTGGCAGGTAATTAAGTTGCAAAGAGCCGAACTCCCTTGACAAACTTGTGTCTTTCCGTAAATAGTTAACCAAGTGGTCATGCATATTCTCAGTGCGCTTCATTTGGTGCCATTTATCACATTAAACTCTTCACAGGATGCAGAACAAAGGCCTGAACAAGATGAAGCACATAATGAATAAAGATAATTTGATGGGGCTCTCCGCCCCTCCGCACCGTGCAGCTGCCTTTGAGCTGAGAGATAATAAAGTGTCTACTCAGCTGTACAAATGTAGAGTCACACAGCTGCTGCTCAGCAACAAACAGTGTGCGCTCATTGTGTC